AACAGACTGCATAGCTTATACCAACCCCAAAACTCAGAATGCCCTTGGGTGGCACCTGAGACATGTAGTTGAGTTTTCCCTGATTTGCTATAACCAACCTACCCCATGTTTCCACTAATGTAGTCTCAAAACTGTCTTGACTTACAATTTTCTTTTGCTGCATAACTTCCTAAAACTCTTCCCACATTGGAACATGTTATTTGAGGTGACCAAAATTCCTCTTCCCAGACTATGCTCGCTGTGTTGGCTAATCTTGGTTGTCAACTTGACAACCTAGGAAGAGGGAACCTCAATTGAGAAACTGCCTCCATCGGATTGGCACATGGCATGTCTATGAGACACGCTGTTGATTGCAGATCAGTGGAGAAGGGCCCAGCCCACCGTGGGTGGTGCCATCCCCAGGAATGAGGGCATGGGTTGAATAAGGAAGCAGGCTGAGTTTAAACCAGAGGAAGCAGACCATTTCTTCATGGTCTCTGCTTCACTTCCTGCCTGTGCTTCCTTTGATAGACTATATAATCTGTAAACCAATCAACCTTTGCCTTCTTCTCCAAGTTACCTTTGGTTATGATGTTTACCACAGCAACAGAGAGCAAGCCAGGAAAGTCAACCACATTTGGCTTGATATTAACCTGTCTCTTACTCTTCCTAAAGAGAGAGCTATGTTTTGGGTCAATAGCTATGTAGTGAGATCAAACAAACAAACAAACAAATTGAGCAAAGAGATTGTCTTGTATGGACTCACATTTAAACTTGTGACATTATTCTTGTGATCCCAAAGAGAAACATGAGACACTCTGGTCTAGTGAGTAAGCACAGCAGAAATTAGGAAGTGACAGATAAGCCTTCTTGTCCAGGGGCCCTGTGATGTGGGAGTCTGTATCCGTTATCTGAGCCCCTGAACATACCAATAAACTTTGATGTGAGGAAAACCGGATGCTAGGAAGTGCGCACTGTAATGTTTGTTTGTTTAGCTGCAGCACACTGACTCCCCTGGGACTCCTAGACGCATTCTGGGGACCGTGGCTTCCGGCATTTCAGATCCCCATCTTCCATCCCAGGGAGGCTTTCCCGTAGCTTTTGGAAATTTGTGATCGCTGTTTGCAAAGCACGTCCACAGAATGCAGCGCAGTTAAGATCTCACAAAAAGTGATAGGTGGTGAGGCAGAGCTGAGTCATCTGGGATGGCCAGTGTAGGCGTCGCTGCCATTACGTCTAAATCCCTTCTTTATATTGGTTTTATTTATGGGTACATACACAGGCAAAGAACAGCTATTAGAGCTGTAAATTGCAGCTGATACGGAGATTGATAGCCTTAAAAATAGTCCTTGAGGGAGTCCGGGGTCTGGTTTAACCATCTCAGAAATGTCTCTCTTCCAACATTCACGGTGTTCCAGAATTTATAAGCCTGTGCTCACACTGCCCACGTGGCTCCCAGAGGCAGCACTGGAAACTTGTCCCAGAGTTTCACTGTCTGAAAAGAGCTTCTCTTTGACATTCTGTGTGTCACCATAACACGTTACCTGAGGGTCATGGAAGCTAGACTCAGAGCTGGGTCCTGGGGCTCCAACCATCAGAAACAGTATCATCTTCAATAAGTAAGGGCTGGGAGGGGAGAGGGGGTCCAGTTACTTCCGTCATACTGGCAAGAGGAGCACAGAGAAGGAGTCTGTGTGTCTCCTGAGGCAGGGATGGGGCTTTTCTACGAGTGGGTTCTACAGACTGGCAGGAGCTTCTTGTTACATTTCAAGGATCTTTTCGATTCTGTTTTTTGTATGCAACTGCAACAGTTGCAGCAGAGTGAACCCCTGTGACCCCAGCACTCAGGAGCTAGAAACAGGAGGATCAGGAATTCAAGGCCAGTCTTGGCTACCTAGCAAGTAAAAAGTCATCCTGGGCCATGTGAGAGCCTGTCTTAAAAAGGAAATCAACAACTCTACCATTAAAGTATTAAATATACTCTAAAAGCAGAGTTAATTCTTGCTGAAAACCCTGATTGTGGTTTTCAGGGGTTACCAGGAAGGGCCTAGCTGGTAAAAGCGGGTCACTGAGGGCAGACCTTTGAAAGTTCTATCCAACCTCTAGTTCCAGAGATTCACTATCTCCCAATCCACCATTATGTGAGGAGACTCAGCCATGTGCTCTCTCAGCAATGCCCTCCCTGCTATGATTGATGGACACCCTAAACTATAGCTCTCCTGCTTTTAAGTTGTTCCTGTCAAGTGTTTCTGTCACAGTGACAAAAAGGTTGGTAGCATGGAGGTCAGGCAACCTTACCAACTTGCGCGCTCTCTTGCAGAGGTTGCTGGCATGGCTTTCAAAAGGCCCTGTATGGTCTTCACACCCATTTCCCTCTTCTATGACCTTTAGGTTTGGATAGAGGGGACAGGATCAGGGAGGACTCCACAGTTTGCCTGGAACTGTTTGTGACAGAAAACTACTTTCCATGACATCTCTCTTTCCTTTAAACTATGATCAGATTCTTATCAAAATGAATGGTTCAAAAAAGTTCATGCATAGTGGAAGTCACCAGGCAAATAAGCAATTTCTTCCTCTATTTTCCTGCCCTTCTATGATATCCCAAAGGTAGAATTCAGACAGATGAAAATCACCAAGCATTGCAGACTTCACTGCAATGAAGGAAATGAGAAAGTGCTTAGGACGACGGGCCCTGTCTTCCCTAGCTGGGGTCATCTAATTAAGCAGCTGCCGGAGTCCATTTGCCCAGCCGCCTGTTGTGTGCATCATAAAACCGAAGCATGGAGCTATGGTACTTCCTGCAGCAAATTTCCACCCCGTCTTAAGAATGAAACAATCTTGACACTCACACAGCTCTACCTCCCATGGATGTGAGCGGCTTAGTTTAAATGTGAAATATCGCTGTCTTCTGTTCTCTGATGCCCTCAGACCAGCTGACCTACAGAACTCTCAGCCAACTATAATCCAAATTAGACCTCAATTAGACCAGCAGCTCCCTTTCTGTGGGTCCCATGACCCGGAGTGTCCACTCTCCCTGCAGGCTTAATACCAAATAGGAAATATCTAAATGGTTGCAGTTGCATCAATTAAAGGGAAGATGGCTTGCCCACTTTGACCCAATGTCTTTTTATGTTTGATATACTTTCTTAATTAAAAAGTACACTATGATCAGAATTGCAGCATTAGGTGGTTTTGTGTGTGTGAGAGAGAGAGTGCACACACACACACACACATAATAAAAAGGGAAGAAGGGGAGGCTGGAGGACAAACTCTTTGCAGTATTTAAGCTTGGCGAGTCAAGCTTTCAACATAACAAGCCAGGGACAGAAGGAACAGCTTTTGGTGCTGAAGTTGACCTTGGAGTCTGACTCTCAGACTTCTGGAGTTGCTGAGAGCAGCCTGAAGACAGAGTCTTCTTTACAAGCAGAGATCTTTCTTCGTCCTGTCTAGTGCCCTCCAAAGCATGTCAACTGCATAGAGAACATGGTCGCTCTAAGGCCATGACCAGGGCCCTGCCCCTGAGAACTCACACCTAGCTCAGTGGTGTTAGCATCGGTCCCTGTGAAGCGAGACTATCCCACCCCCAAGCCAGTTCTCTCGTCTCTAGAAACCATCTTTCTCAGATGTGTTTACAGCTGTTGGCTCCATCAGCTACATCCTCTTAGGAGAGTTTCCCTGACTATTTGTCTCTGAGACTCAATAGACAGAAGAGTATAGCAGAAAATAGCCCAGAGCCACCATGAAATTGCTGGGAGTGGATCTTGCTTCCTTGTCTAATGGGCTGTGTGACCATGGATAAGCTCCTTGCCCTCTCTCTGCCTTGGGCTCTCATTTTTGTTATATAAACTCTCACTGGCGCACAAGCGGCTTAGAGATGTTGTAGAGTAAGAGAATTAATGCTAGTCACACAGCCAGGACAGGGGAGCATGCCAGGTGCCCTGTAAGCTCTCTCCTAGCTATCACACCCACACACAGAGTTATGCTGTCTAGGGGAGGAAAAGGATGGCCAGAGGAGCATGGAGCATATCTGTAAAGACCTACTGAACATTAGTGACTGGAACCTGGGGCTGGGGTTTCAAAGAGACTCTCAGCATGAGATTTAGGCTGCGACCTTATAACACACACAGCCATCTTCCTGAGTTTGGGGACCACTGTATGTGTTGTGTAAAATCTATAAATCAGTGATTATGTGTCCTGACCAATGTTTATGATAATCTGACTGCTACAGAAAGACTGAAAGATGGTACAGAGACACCTCAGGGTTCCTTGCTAACACAGAACCCATACTTCTTGGCTCATGGATGCTATTGCTGTAAGATTTATTATTAGTGTGTTTCACAGGTTGACATATGGAGGCCTTGGCCAGGAGAAGGAAGCTACTGGAAGTCTTACCCTCTTCACTATATCCTTGCCTTGTTGGGACTGTCCTTTAAGTCTCAAATCCAACTTTCACTCTGTTGACCCACAAAGGACAGAGATAGTAGAAGGTGAACCATAACACATGTAAACCATGCTCCCCCTGCCTGGGACTGGGAGCTCCATACTAGCATCCCTGCGCTGCTCCCCTTCCCACAGGTGACTCTAGTGTTCAGCTGTGACTGCAGCTGCCTCCCTTCCCGTCAGGGTTCCATATGTGGCTGCTAGTACATAGGGGTGGGAGAGGTCACATCTCTGGAATTCCTTTCCGTTTTGAGTCAGAGGAACCTGCAACTGTTGCTTCCCAGGGCTTGGAGCCAGAGTTAAAGAGGAGGTTTGATCATGCTTTTGTGGTACCTCCTCCTGGAGAAAGCATCTGAGGGCAGTGGGGTTGCTAAGGACCACATGTCCACTCTGTGTGTACACATATGCAGTTGTTATGGGACTTGCCTGGGGAAACATGAAAAACATCATTTCATCCCAGATAGAGAGGATATCAATAAACCAAAGAGAGTGTTCATCTGAGGAGTGATCCAATAGGTTTGTGGAGATTGTTGACAGGAGTATGGGCTACTCAAAGATAGCCATGTTGAACGTAGTCCCAGCCCAGTCAACCTTTATTTCAGATATAGTGGTGATTAGTATCTTGGGGAGAGGAGGGACCATGTGAGGATGTTGGGGAACCCTGTCTCTTCTAAGCCTGGTGAATTCTTCCTATTCCTCCATGCAGGAACATTAACAGGCCAGATCTCATGAAGGTCTTGTGTAGGTGATCACAGCTACTCTATTTCAAATGGGAAGGGTCCCGTCCAGTAGAGAGACCATCTGCATTACAATGATATAGTGTTATTATATTGCACATATACACATATATTTATGCAGTATATATCATTGTAATATATACACATGTTACACAGTATTTATTATGTGATATATATGTGTACATATATATATGTATATATGACACACACATGCATATATTTCACTTATATACACCCTGCTATATAGTTCCTTAAGTTCAAGCCTAAGAAACCCAGTCCCAAAGTGACGGATGTGGAGCCTTCAGGAGGTGATTAAGGTACAATGTCTCCTCTATTCCCCTAGCATTAACAAACCAATAGGTTGTCACAGGACTGGCTTGGCTAGGACCCTCACTTCCTCTGGCTGGCTTACTGTGTCTTACCACATGACATCCTTTGCTATGCCATGATAGAGCTTGGCTGAGCAGAGAAGATGTCAGCTCTATGCTCTCATACTTGTTAGCTTGCAGAACCAAGGGCCAAATATAGCTCTATCCCATATAACTTAATAAATTGCCTTTCTCAGGTACTCAGCCATAGCCACAGACATACCCATCCTTGTAAACAAGTATCTGTTATACATCTATGTTCTGGTCCAAATACTGAATGTTCTGGAAAGATGTCAGATGAAAAGATACCTAGGAGAATCATGAATGTCTGTCTGTATGAAGGGCTGTTGCCATGGCAGCTCAGCACCCTTGGGCAGTCTCCTAATGAAGAGTTATTACTTCTTAGCTAAAACACATCACAGGGAATGGATTAGTCATCAACTTGCAGAGAGATACAACAAGTTATTTTTTTCTTTCGATTGCTTTTGGATGTAAACACGCTGATCTATGTGTGACAATTCATGCCCACGTCTGACTCACTCACCCCCACTCTTTCGTCACTGAGCTAGCGAAGGAAGGCCTGAGAGGTCTCTATTGCTCCCAGGGACCTCTCAAACAGAGGCGTGGGTGGCAACTCAAATGCATCCTGTGGCAAGAGGGTTTTAGGCAAGACATGCCCAATGAGGATATACCCTGGCTCCTCTGAGCTCCACATCAGAGCTCAGGTCCTGGAATGGCTCGTTGTTCACGAGAGCTTTGGGAGGAGGTGCATCTCATGTAATAGGGAGGACCTACCTCTGCCCCTTAGGTCTGGCCATTGTCCTCTCCTGGTCCTCCTATTGTCTATGGCCAGAGGAAAGGTGACAGGATTAGAGAGACTTCTGAGCTGTGTGGAAGGAAGGCTTACATTTCCCTCTTGGGACTTGGAGATGTGTGTTAGCTGAGAAACTTAACCCATTTTCACTGTGGCTTCTACATTCCTAAGATGTCTTTGTCCTCCTCCTGCATCCCAGCCCTCAGGCCAGCTCCCCCACCCCTGCCTCCCCACCCTCCCACCACACACACAGATGAGTATCCCACTGCAACATCCACACACAGATGAGTATCCCACTGCAACATCACACACGGATGAGTATCCCACTGCAACATCCACACATGGATGAGCATCCATCCCATTGCAACATCCACACACGGATGAGTATCCCACTGCAACATCCACACATGGATGAGCATCCATCCCACTGCAACATCACACATGGATGAGTATCCCACTGCAACATCCACACATGGATGAGCATTCATCCCACTGCAACATCCACACATGGATGAGCATCCATCCCACTGCAACATCCACACACGGATGAGTATCCCACTGCAACATCCACACATGGATGAATATCCCACTGCAACATCCATAAAAGAAACCCAGAGAAATACTCCACATACTCATGAGCTCCTGTGGGGATGAAAACTTTAACTCAACAAATCCATAGGAGTCACCATTGATTTGTGGGAAAGATTTTCAGGTCACATATTTGTCATAAATAAAGTATGTAAGGTAATTAACAATAGAAAAATTATAATAAATAATTAAGATAGTTTCTCCTACTTTTTGAAACCACAGGGTATGTGGAGAGAGAGAGAGAGAGAGAGAGAGAGAGAGAGAGAGAGAGAGAGAGAGTAGATGAACATCTCTTCTAGTTTTCTTTCTGTTACAGTAAAACAGTTTGGCCAAGGGGGCAGCTGGAGAGATGGCTCAGCAGTTAAGAGTACTAATTGCTCTTACAGAGGGCCAGGGTTTAGTTCCCATCACCACATCGTGGCTTACAACCATCCACAGCTCCAGTTCCAGGGAATCTGACACTCTCTTCTTGCTTCCACAGGCACCAGACAAGCACATGGTGCACAGACATACAAGCAGGCAAACACTCATTCACATAAAATATCTAACATATATATGCATATATCTAACATATACATGTATATATATATACATATATGCACTTATATCTATATCTATATCTGTTTTTTTCCCAGCCAAAAATAACTTGGAACGGAGAGGATTTATTGGTTGTATACTTTCAGGTCACAATTGGTCACTAAGAGAAATAAGTGAAGGAACTCAAGCAGGAACCTGAAACAGAAGCCATAGACTCTATGACTTTATGATACAGAGGAACCTGAATGCTCACCTCACTCTCTGGCTTGCTTACTCTGGTACTCAGCTAGTTTTCTTATACGAACCAGGACTACCTGCCTAGGCATGATTCATAGTAGGCTGATCCTTCCCACATCTATTATCAATCGAGACAATCCCCCCAAGACGTGCCCATTGACCAATCTGATAAAGACAGTCACTCAAGTACAGCAATGCAATGCAGCTCCCAACGCTCCTATCAAGTGACTCATAACTGGCCGTAACTAATTCCAAGGGATGGAGCTCTCTTTCTTGGCCTCCGTAGGCACCTGAACATTCATAGGCATACTTACGCACTGATCTACACACATCCATACATAAACAGCAGTTGTAAGGTTGTTTTTAAAGATTCCCTTTTCCTGGGAACAGAAAAGGAAAAACTGAGCTAGTGTATAGAAAGAAAAAGCATTGGATCTGAGGCTTCTGGCCAGCAAAAGGATTCAAGACATCACCATGTCACTTGTGTCTAATGGGAAATCGCATCATCTTGGAGGTTTGCGGAAAGACTTGATGAATAAGATCACGAGGAAAAACCTTACAAGGCACAGTGGCTGTTGCCATTTGTCCTCTGTCTACTCTCTGCCTGTAAACTTTGCCTGATAAGAACTTTCAGGAAAGGGGCCCTAGATTCTGTCTGTCCCCGACGGTCCTTGGCTTACACTCAAATGGCAAATTGTGTGGAAGATAAGGAAACCAGTTGCTTCTTTAAAGTTAAAAGAAGACTGGATTTAAAATGTCATTTTAGATGACATTTTATAGATGGATAGATCTATGAAATGGATGGATAGATGGACAGATGGTTATAGGTGGATAGATGAGAAGTTTTCCCACACCCAGACACCCCAAATAAACCATGTTATTTAGCAAATGTCCATGGGGGGAGGGGGAGGCAACCAAACAGATGTTTAGAGAGTGAAGAAAGGGCTGAAGATGTCTGGAACATTAAGACTTCAAGTCTAGGAAGAAAAGATGACCCTATGGATGACCAGAGTTTCACAGAATCACAGTGGGAATCACAGTACTATTCATGCTAGCCCTGGTGTCAGGAGCCTACATCATTCTCCAGTGCCTACTGGCTTCTCTGGGAAAGACCAGAGAGAAGCTAAGCCACACAGATGGGAACGGAAGGGCTCTCAGGGGGGAGAAGTCCACAGGAGCTCTGAGCTGAGTCCAGCTAACATCTACTCCCCAGTTTTTATTAATTTTTTACTGTGTAGCCCTGGCTAGCCTAGTCTAGAACTTGCTATGTAGACCAGGCTGGCCTCATAAAAATCTACCTTCCTTTGCCTCCCAAGTGCTGGGATTAAAGTCATACACCACTAGGCCTGGATGGCTTTTCTTTAAATTAAAAACTATGTACCAAATGTTTCAGAGCTGCTTTCTTCATTTTTCTACCCTGCTTTTTGGTTCTTCCTTCCTTCCTTCTTTGCTCTGTCCCTCCCTGCCTCTTTCCTCCCTTCCATTTCTCTCCCTCTTCCCTCTACTGTGCTTCACCCCTCCCCACGTTCTGCTCTGCGTCCCTTCCCTCTGTCCCGTCCCATCCTCTTCTCTTTAACCACCCTGGTCACTAAACAAACACCCTGTTAAAGACAAGCCCCACAGTCAACTTCACATGTCTCCCAAGAGCTTTCCCAAAATCAAGACCATATTAACTAATCATAGTAGTCCATCACTTCTCTCCGTGGGGACCCAACACTCTGACTTGGGGCACGCAGCACAGACAGGAAAGAGGCAGGGCAGCCAGCCTCACAGGCACAGCGGCCATGATGTCATAGTGGGAGAAGACATCAGGCCTCTTGGGCACATAGTCTCCACAGAGCATCACAGGTCATGGGCCTTAGAGCCTGGTCTTGGGTCAGGTGACCACACTGACTCTCAGATGACAGAGCATCTTGGGTCTGTGGGTCACAGCTGTGGCTAAAGTTTAGCCTATACAGTAGAGGAACTGATGACTGCCATGTCACTGAGATGCTGAGCATCAGAAGCAATGAGTTGCGGTCCTCTCCTCAGCATCTGTAAGGGGGGGTCTCACTCATCATTTGTGAAGTGGATTTATTTCTCACTCACTAGAGAAAAGTGGGGTTTTGTTTCCTTCCCCTGGAATTGTCCCCAGTATGTGACGGTTTGCAGGACATGGGCTATTTTTGATCTCTTTATCTTAATCTCTGACATGATCTGGTAACCTCCGGATGTTCTCCATTTTCCCACAGCACAGCCCAACTCAATCAACAGGGGTTTTTTTTTTTCTTTTCATTATTTGAAACTCGGCAGCTTTTCCTGGTCTCCTGCCCCACAAGGCCTCGAGCTTTTCCTGGTGTGTCATTACTTGGTTGTTTGTTTTGCACGTGCAGGTGTGTATTGTGTGTGTGCCTGTGTGGGAGCACATGCATGTGTGAGTGCAGGAACATTTGTGCGTGCCTATGTGTGTGAGGGCCTGCGGGTACTGGGAATCATCCTTGGTTGTTCTTCACCTTGTACCTTGAGGCAAGGTCTCTCAGTTGAACCCAGAGCTTTCCCTCACAGCTAGTCTACCTAGCCAGCTGGCTCTGAGGCTTCCTGGTGTCTGGGCCCAGTTGGCTTCTACATGGGTGCTGGCGGGCCTCTGGGGTCCTCCTGCTTCTGTTTGTCCACTGAGCTGGGGAGGGTTGCTGCTGTCCTGCAGCCAGCTTGGTGTTGGCTCTGGACATCCTCACTCTTCACCTCTCCTGCCCTTACTGAACACGCCTAAGTTCTACAGCTGAATCATCTTTCTGCTGGAAAAGCTAGAAAAGTTTCAGTTTCATGAACCTGGACTCTGATGAGTACCCACAATCCAGGGCCTCAATGTCTGGGGTCCCTGTGGGCACTCAGAACCATCTTACCTCCCAATTGTCAATAGCCCCAAGCTTCCATTCTTGAATCTACTCAGATTCCTAAAACAATTGGCCCACAAAACTCCTCATGTCTTCTGCTGCTGTTGGAAGCTAAAAGCCATCAGAGGTCCACTGTCAAAGGCATGCTGGGTAGAAACTCCTCTCTATACACCATTTGCAATTCCAATATGGGAGGCAGAAGGCCAGCCTATGCAATGTAGGGAGCCAGACTTGAAAATTACAGTGAAGAACTCAGTAAACACATACACAAAGGATTTCTTTGTGGTAGAAAAGACATGATGGAGATAAGTGGTACTTCTGAGTAGAAATATTGACTTTAATAAAAGAGGGATTCAGAAATGTTTTTATGTTCTCACTTCCCAGTATTTCTTCTTCCCAAGATGTCTTTCAAGGTTGAGATGCTGTGGAAAGCAAACATTTTCTCCTGAATTTGTAGGGGAAGCCAAGGCATGAGTTTTGACAGAGACGGTAGTGCTATGGAATAATCTTTTTGTACACTGTGAAGATGTGTCGCTCTAATCGGTTTAAGAGAAAGCTGAATGGTCAATAGCTAGACAGGATTTTCAGGCACAGGGGATGCTGGGAAGAGGAAGAGCTGGGACAAGAAGAGACGTGGGAGACGCAGGAAAGCAGGATGGACATTATGTAGATGAGGTAATCAACCCTCTGGGCAGCACAAGGATGGATAGAAATGGGTCGATTTAAGCTATAAGACATAGCCCAAAACAAGCCTAAGCTATCAGCCAAGCCTTCATAATTTATAATACATCTCTGTGTCATTCTTTGTGAGCTAGCAGCCCAAAAAGAAAATCCATCTACACAGCGGCTCATGGAGAAGTGACATGCTAGGATTGGCCCTCAGCCCCTAGAGTTTCCGGCCCACTGAGACCAGAAATGTGGAAAAGGAGAGAGAGAGAGTAGTTAGTGGTTTGTTGTTGTTGTTTGTTTTGCTTTTTGTTTTTTTGATATAGGTCTCACTATAGCCAGAATAGCCCTAGCTGACCTGGAATTTGTTATGTAGACCAGGCTAGCCTCCAACTCACAGATCCACCTGCCACTGCCTCCTGAGTACTAAACTAAAGGCTAAACTTGTCTATGATAATCTCTAAAAGCAAACAAGCTAAATGAATACTTCATGCCACCTTTTGTTCCTCCAGGACTGCTGCTGGAGAGCCCCACTCTGCTCCCCCCTCTTGTGAACTCATCCCTGCACTGCAGCTGGCTCAGCATCCAGCATCTGGGGTGTGTTGTTCCTGAATCCCAGTGTTTCTGTTCTCCTAGCCCTAGCACTGCTGGTAGCTGGGCCCCATCCTTCCCTGCAGGATGTGAAGATGCTTCTCATCCTCTAGTTGAGTTTGAGCCTTGATGCTTGCTCACACATATTAGAAAGACTGCCGGAGGGCACCTTTACTCTTCCTTCAGCCTGGACCCTGGTGAGAACAGGGCTCTGAGCTCCCACAATGCCAAGGACAAGATGCTCCAGCCACACAGCAAATTTTGGAGTCAGGCCACATCCCTAAGTGGTCAGTTGAGTTCTGCCCTAGCCCTGCTAGCCTAGTTAGGCATGAATAACCATCCTTACCTCATCTGTTTATATGAATTTTGTCTGTTGGAGTGTCATGCTACTTAGAGTTGAGGGACTTCCTTCTGCCTCAGTTATTTTTAGAGAGTTTCTTTTTCCTTTCTGGTCTTCAAGGCCTCCTAGGCCTTATGTTTGTGCCTGGCTATGTCTTAGAAGTACTTTTCACATTTAAAATGCTCAGTGTGGGTGGGGGCAGGAGGAGGTGACAGCAGGAGCTCACTTCAACATCAGAGACCCAGTTCTTTTCAGAACCTTTTCAAGATTGTCACATACTCTGGGACAGCAACAGGTTAGTTTGTCCCGTGTGGGACTTGAACCCTGGTGGGATTAGCATGGGTCCTTGGAGAGCAACTAGAGAGGGACAATGAAAAGCAGGCGACCTGAAGAGCAATAGTAAGATGGAAGACACCAGGGCTATGGGCCATGAGGTAGAGCCTTCCCTTGTTCGGATTCTTGTATCCTGGGTCACCTGTAGCCGCTTCCTCAGGGTCCCTCAGGGTGGCTTCATGCCATAACATATGTGGGAATATAACATCCACAGAACACATGACTGTTTCCTATGTGGTTGATAACATGGTTAATATTTCATCACCTGTCTGTCTACCTCATAAGATCAAATGTAAAGAGAATCACTAAGGGTTTGGGTTGGGGGAGGGGTGTGACTGTCTTCTGTTCCCAGCCACAGTGTTGGAACCTCCACAGAATGTGCGCCTGATCCTGGGGTTAACAACCTTGTTTCGGGGTTGCTGAGTCACACAGATTTTTCTCTTAAGCAGAGTGCAAGTGTTTGGAGCTCATCATTCAAAGCAAAGTTAATCCCCGAGGAGAGGAGCCTGGCTGAGAGCCCAGAGCCTGGTAACTGGAGCTGTGGAATGCTGGCTAGGAGGGCCAGTCGCTGAGGGAGGAGCAGCACGCTCAGTGTGGTCTACACCCTTCTAGACCAGGTTTTGGCATCTCCAGCAGAAGGACCTGAGAAGATAGGTGCTGGAGGGAGCAGAGCTCCCAAAGGTGTGCTCACCTAGGACCTCAGAGGGTCTCTTCACTTGGAAAAAGGTTCTTTGCGGATGTCACTATTCATGACCAAGTCACGGTGAGTTAAGCTGGACCTAAGCCAGAGGTCTGTGCTCTTACAAAGAAAGAGCACTTGGAGCAAGGGGAAGGAAGTCTGGTGACCATGGAGACAGCAATGGCCCGGGAGCAGCGCAGGGTTGCTGGCCATTGCCAGGAGCTGAGGAGCCGTGAGGAAGGGAAGTGACCCTGCTGGTGCTTCTCTTTTCTGATTTGCATTATCACCATGCTTCCAGCAATCTGCGCAAGCTCTGATTTCATTCTTGAACAAGAGACCAAGAACCTGGTCACATCCAGCACAGACAGACCAGGTCTCCTTGGGAGAAGAAGAAAAGAAAACCCATCAGCATTCCAAAGAGAAGCGCAATTTGTGCATGGTAACAGAAACATACAGACCTTAAGTATCCAGGGTGATGAGTTTTTAGTTTTTATTTTATTTTATTTTTTCAGTTCTGGGGCTGGGCCCCAGTGTCTCATACATCCTCAGCAAACATTCTACCACCGAGCTACATCCTCAGGCTTCTTTTCATTTTTTATTTTCAGACAGGGTCTCATGAACTCACCCAGGTTCGTCTTGAGCTCACTCTGTGCTGGTCTGAAACAGTACCTCACTCTAATCCCTAAGACTCCCTCACCCAGCTTTCTAGCAACCCACTCCCCCTGGTGAGTCTCTATTGCTTCAGGGTTTCACAATCTTCCAAAATTACTGTCACTAGCTAGGGACCAAGTGTTCAAACACGAGCCTGTAGGGAACACTTTACATTCAAATCATAACACTTGTGTATTTCTGTTCAAATAGGAGCCTGCGCCCACCAGGGTCTACATTTAAGGACAGGACAGCTGCCAACAGGAGGCTCACGCTCAGCGAGGAAGCTGGGAATGGCAAGGAGGTATTCTCTATGACCACTGTCACCTGTGGAGTGCCAAGAGGTTAAAGTGGAGACAAGATGCTTTGGGGAGCAGGCTGGCAGAACACATGCTCAGGGCTGACTCTTGCACCACCCCAAGGCCCAGCCTCATCCTGCATAGTCTGGGAACAGCTGAGGTTGGGCATGGCGGGACCTGATGTGTCTAACACTCTGCCCTGTTCACAGAGTCTGCAGGCAGAAAGGAATTGAGATGGCTCTACCACAGTATTCCACTGAGACTTCTGGGAGAGTCTGGGCCTGGGGCTGCTTCTGCATCTGCATCTTTAGGAAAACAATTTTTACTGCAGCTCAGCACAGCCAGGAGGTCTTGATTCTGCTTCCTTCATTTATTCTTGAGTTCCATCTGTAAAATGGGATGATGTGGCTGATGTAGCCTGCTAGGGCCCAGTTTGCAGCTGCCGTGGTGCTCTGTGGTTAAGGCGAGCAATGTGGGGAAGCACGGGATGAGCTTAAAGTCCGTGGATGACAAGGCAGTTTCCATCCCCCTGTCATTTGGATGGTGAACCTGGCTGCTGATGCCCTCTGGGATTGTGGACAAGAACAATAGGAAAGAACTTGGGGCAAAGACTATGTCTTCCTGGGTTAGACAGAGCTGAATCAGCAAATATCCACAAAGCCAAACATCTGTGCCTCTTCTTGGCTGTGGGGCACACAGTGGTGGCTTCTCACGGTTGTCTTCTCTGCCTGACAGAGGCAACAGAGTAGTGTCCAGGGGATGAAATGAAGAAAGACAACAATGCGCAGAGCAGACTCAAGGCAGCAGTGAAATGTCACACAGAGGCATGACAGCAACTGACTTGCTTCACTGACTAAAGACGGAAATGAAATCAACACAGAGACTGGAAGAGACGCAGAGTAAAACAGAGACAAAGAGACAGACAACAAGAAAGACAGAGACAGACAGGCAGAGAGATCGAGGAACACACACACACACACAGAGGTCAGTGGCAGGGGCAGGGATGTGAATGTGTCTTCACAGTGGAAAACAGCACTCACAGAGGTGGGTAAGGGTGACAGAGCTTACTTAGCCTAGCTGTGATTTGGTCCAGCCTGTTTCAAATAGGCAAACTGAGGCTGGTGAACCTGGTATATTTGTAACTGTTTGTTAAAGCTAATGGGGACTGTGGCTGGCACTGGAATCCAGTCCTGAATCTTGGAGGCAAAACCATGTCAACTTGTGAAATATTTTTTAAGTTAGCTCACAAGTGTTTACTGTTTGTCAGAGAATTAAGACTGTTTTTATATTGCATGTTTTACGGTGTCTATTGATCTGTGACCATGTGACTGAAGACCCCAGGGTGAAAAGGATGAATGTCCAAACTCCAGCTGAGAGAGAGATTGCTAAGAGAGAAAAGGGAACCAGAATCAACAGAACAACCAGCTGCACGCACACAAGCGCCACAGAGGCCTTAGAAATTAGCCCCGTGAAACACTTCCCAAATCAGGAGCAGAAAGAAATTCTAGTCCAGGCCAGAGCAAAGCCCCTGGAAGGAAGATAATGAGAACAGAGAAAAAGCAAACTCAGACAAAAAGAAATCTCTGAGACTCAGACAGCAGAACTTGGGAGCCCAGCAGGCAGATGACTTGGAGAGAGCCTAACAAAGGGAGGACAGCCACCAAGTGGACACTTGTAGGGGCCACGGCTGCAGAGTGGGGGAGGCAAGGAGCTTCCCCAGCCACAGAAGGTGGTCTCTGAGAGGATATGCAAATGAGAACAGGTATGGCATGGTTTACTTGGCATCCACTATTCCTGACTAGCCAAGGCACTGCTGACCTGAGAGGCCCGTGTGTGAGGCAAGAAGAGTGGGGTCAGGCACGTGGGACCATGAGAATAAGAAAGTTAACTCCATGAGACCGGAGAGATGGTCAGGAGTTAAAAGCACTGGTGCCCTTCCAGAGGATTTGGGTTCAATTCCCAGCACCTACATGGCAACTTACAACCATCTTAGGCCCAGCCAATCCAACACCCTCTTCTGGCTTTGGCAGGCACTGTACACTTGTGGTACTTATGTGCATGTTTATACATATGGACCAAACACACATGCGCACGTGCACGCACGCGCGCACACACACACACATACACACACACAATAAAGGCAAATATTTTAAAGAAAGTTCACTCTAGGACTCTGCAATCAATAAGTCCATCACACGGACTGTCCTGCACAAATCGCCTCAGCAAACCAAGAGAATCTGTCACCTGCAGTCAAAATTGAGCTGCTCCTTCCCAAGCCCCTCTCCTTTCCTTCCCTGCCAGTAAGAAAGGAATAGGGTGAGGGGAAAGAGGCTCTTGAGCTGCATGCTTGCTCCAAACTTCGTATCACAGGACTTTCCAAACCCCCCTCCATCGATGAGGCTTTAGAAGATGCAGCCTTCTGGGCTGATATCAGCCTGGATTCTGGTACTGTCTGCCCACGGTGTGATGGAATGTTTGTATTTGTAGTGCTTCTAGGAACGACAGTACCCCCTTGGTTTAACAACCATTGTCAGAGCCATTCGGGCTGCGCGATTTGCTTCATGCTGGCTTGGCCCATCTGAATCTGACCTGTGTGGTCCGTCATTCATTCTATCCATGCTTACCGGGAACTTCTGCACTCGAGGTGGTAGCATAAAAGCTGAAGGCAGAAATGCAATTGAAACCGGCAAGATTCCTTCCTGGTGCTGAAGTTTCTTGTCCCTAAGGCTGAGATACTTAGCCTGTAGGGCTTTTGTGTGTGTGTGTGTGTGTGTGTGTGTGTGTCATCTCCAGAGCATGCTTGTTAAATGGGCAGTAACGGGAGGTTTCTTACAGAGGCACTGTTAATGGTTGAAAGCCAATTTCTGTGATATGTCATCCCAGTGTCTTAGGTAGAGAGAAGGACTTGAGGCCATCAGAGGAGCAGGTCACCCCAGACAAGGAAGGCTGAGGTGTGACCTTATAGACCAAGACCTTCTCTCAGACCAGAACCTGTGGTCTACTGAGGCATGGTCAGTGCCATGCCAATCATAATCCTGCCATGTCACATTCTCCAGACTTTTGAGGCTGGGAGCATGGTGTATACTAGTACTATGGGCATATAGGTTCTCCAAGGACTTGCCATGTGTGAACTGACATTCCCAGGAGGAAAAGAAATGAAAAAGCAAGCAAGAAAGAAAGAAAGAGAAAAATCTGCACCAGTGATAAAAGATTCTACAAGGCCAAATAACTGAACTTCAAGATGATGAAGGGTTAAAATGTTGCAGACAGAACCACATTGTCTCAGGCTATTTTTAGCACCTTTTAAAACTGTCTATTGCCCACACCTGTGTCTGACCTAAGGCCCGAAAGTTTATTGAAAACCTTAGTGAGTATTCTTAGCAGGTCTTCTTGTTAGGTTTCAGCTGTTAACTGGACACAGCCCACAGTTTTCTGAGGGAGTCCCAGCTGGGAAACTGCCTCATCAGATTGGCCTGTGGTCATGACTATGGGGCATTGTCTTCAAGGCTACATTGATGTAGCAGTCCAGTCCACTCGGGGTGGCACCATCCCTAGACAGGGGTCCTGGCCTGGGCTGTTTAAGAAAGCTAGCTGACCAGAGGCAATGTGCCTCTGTGGCTTTCTGCTGTACCTCCTGCCTGAGCTCCTGTCCCAATTTCTTTCCATGATGGACTGGGATTTGGAAGTATAAGCAAATAAGCCCTCTCCTCCCCACGTTGCCTTTGGTGGTGGTGTTTATCACAGCAGTAGAAAGCAAACTAGCGCAGTGGATCACTAGTTTTCACCAATGTAAAAAGCTAGAAATGTCATCAGACGCTTCTGAAACCTGCAGCACAATTCCCCCCCCCACTTTCCTGTGCTCCACTCCGGACTTGGTGAGTGCTTTGATTTATGACTTTCTTTGTTCTGTAGCTGATAAAATCTCCTGTAACCACTCCCACCGGCTGAACACTAGCCTGGGCACAGTGTGTCCGGTGTGAGGAGAAGCTGTGCAGGTCGGCAGGAAACCCAATTTGGACCCAAGGGTGTGTCACTTTCAAGATCAACACAGAGACTGGGGTGATTCTGTGGGAATGGCTGGGAGGGGGTGTGTTTCCTTCGGGGATGCACGGGGACTTTGCTGAAGGCTTCCCTGTGGCTCCAGATGTGTTTCACTGCCCTATGGGGAATCACAGGCATTCATCCAGGGGTTGCTAGGCAGAGTCTGCAACTTGAAAATAAACTTGGGACAGGATTCAAACAGCATTTGCAGACTCGTCATGGTCATCTTATCACCCTCCTGAGGTTCAAGTTGTTTTTCTTCTCCATCAGGTTTGTTTTAATTTAATTAGTCTGAGCCCAGTGTGAGCCCAGTGATGACCTTCAAAGATGTCATGAAGCAGGTAATTATATATCGGTGCCTAGGGCCAGATGCGGAGGTCTCAAAGGCCCTGAGGGTTTGTAAAGCTGCCACAAGTCTGCACCTGGCTTCCCATCCAGCTGCACATCTCACCATAGCATCTCAGGCCAAGAAGGCCCAGCTGTCCCCAAGCCAGCAAGGACTCTATATAGCTTCCCTTGCAGCTGGGGCCATGTATCCAGCCATTATGGTGACTGCTAGATGTCGCTTGGTCCATGTACTAGGTTCAGCATCCTGGGAACACAGGGCAGTGGATACCCTGCCTTCATCATTACCCCTATTTTAGTGCCCTGAGCCACACAATGGCCCCATGACCACTTGGCCCCATACATTTGGCTGTGACACTGGGGTTTGGTGAGTACCTCCAGAGAGGTGACAAGTTCTTGTGCTCTAGATCAAGGAATTAGACAGGTACATATGTATAGTAGCAAACAAAGTGAGAACCGTTAAGACTATATAAACTTAAAGGAGGGAGTAGAGTTGAACAGAGAAAAAAAATTAGAAACTCAGCAGCAAGTATACTACCAAAGTTGGGGGCTTCTATGTCATATTCTCCAGGGTCTTGGGGGTCATTTGCAAAGCATGGGCTTTCTTTGCATGCTCTACTACCTGGAGTTCTCCATGTAGCCTCATGCAGCCTATGTCTCATTAGCATATTAAGTCTCCACCCAGGTGTGTATTTTAATATTATGTAAGGCCTTCTGGACCTGGTCCTCTGCCCTACTTTCCTGCTTCAACTGAACCATTTCCACTTCTGGAGGGCTTTCCAGAACCTCCATGCAGAACAGAAGCCACCTTTCCCATTACTTTCATGCCCCTTTCCCCCAACCTTGGCTCTGGATTTTAAAGTCCTGAGCCCTGGTCCAGAACACAGCGGACTTGTATACCTGTGTTTTGATTCAAGGCCTGGCCTACGGGACCCTCAACAGCCTCATCTGAGCACAATGCAGATGTAGGGGGTGTGCAGTCCCTGTTTCTCATTCCCTTCTGAGACTCTGCTTCTGGAGAGCCTCAGCTGGCTGAGCTGAGGTCTGGCCCAACCAGTGAGCTCACACTCAGGGTCTACACACATCCCACTGTAGGCCTCCTCTAAGTCTGGGCCTCATGATAAGTGCAAGAGGAATCCAGGTGGGAGAATCCAGCATCTCCAGTCTAAAGCACCACTTGCTGGCACAGATGCAGGGCACTGCCTCTAGTCAGCGGGTGCTGCTCTCTGTTCACACTGACTTTGAATTACATGCCCCTACTATTGTGCCAGATGGTGAGAGTGGCTTGGTCTCCCTGACTGGCTGAGTCTTGGCCAGGGCTGCTGCAGAAAGTGTCCTTCACTGCCCTTTCACTCACATTAAACTGTGTCTTGTTCTTCTCTCTTGCACTCTGCTATCAAAAGCAAGTGATAAGCGCCACCTCAGCTCACCCCTCAGCATGCCAGATTTAGCACAGCATAGTCAAGAACCCAGGTGTCATTCTGTATCAGCACAGATGGCAGCCTGCGGTAGAAGCAAGAGCAATAGGCTGGCCATCCAATCTCAAGGCCAGGGCCAAGATCTGCCTGCAACCATCTGTGTGACCTTGAGTTTAAGTTGTGGGTTCTTCAGCCCGTCCAGCTGTCATAGCCTATAAATGTATGCCCAGTGTAACATCATGTTCAATCTCCTTTTATCTCCATACACAACAAACTTATATACAGCCTTCAATCAGCCAATTAAATGATGGTCTTAAGAGTTAGACTGTTGTGGGGCTGGGGTGATAAGGCACCTAGAATGGGTTCAAGTCCCGCACTGGAAAACAACAACAACAACAACAAAAGTCAGCCAAGTTAGACTGTGAAAGGAAGAGGAAAGCTGGTTTATGAGAGGAGAGAGACAACAGACAGAGGGGGAAACTGAGTTCC